ACGGCTACCTATAATCAGAGAGAGATTGAATTACACAAAGAGCCTAACTGTCCGAGAATTCAAACCAGCTATTTTTAGCCATCACCAAAGGCTCCCATGGGCTGTTGCAAATTCAGAGAGCATGAATTGGGTGCTGCTTAGAGTACATTGAGTTTTCATTTCAGGAAGAAAGGGGCATCACAACTGCTCAAGAACACTGAGCTAGGTGCTTGCTTGACTTTATCTCCCTTGGTGGTCACAGCCATCTTTAAAGGCTGGAATTGTTCCCATTTTACCAATGGGGCACTCAAGGCTCAGAGAGTCAGCAGCCTGGTCAAAGGCAACACGCCAGATAAGTGAGAGACCTGGAAAAGAAACCATGTCCACCTGAGTTCAAGACCTACAATGTCTCTATCATAGTCTTTGTGGACTTTCTGAGGGGTTAAGAGCAAACCAAGTATTCCCCATCATGTTGCAGAAGAAAATTTTTCTAGCTATCATCTTTTTTTTTAAAGATGTTTATTTGTCAGAGAGAGACAGAGAGAGAACACAAGCACAGGGAAAGGCAAGCAGAGAAGGAAGCAGGCTCCCCGCCGAGCAAGGAGCCCAATGTGGGACTCGATCCCAGGAGCCTGGGATCATGACCTGAGCCGAAGGCAGATGCTGAACCCACTGAGCCACCCAGGCATCCCTAGCTATCATCTCCTTGACCCTACACAGCAGAACTCCTGAAGACCCATATAAATTATAAAATTCAGGGGTCCTGGGAACATATCAAAGGGGAGAGAGCTCCAGAACTGGCAAAGGAGGAGCTAGGGATGGTCCCTCCAGCCACTGGGACTTTCCACGATCATCTGTGGCTCTCCTTGGCAGAAGTGGCTGGAATGGAGTTATCAGTGAGCATAACACAAGCACAGACAAAAAACTCTCCTAACTTTCAAAGACAACAAATCGCCAAAACTCACAGTGCACAAAATACACTATGTAAATTGTGAACCCTAAGTCAAGGATCTGTTTTTTTTCCACGATCATGTAATACTTCCACGATCATAATACTTCCACCAAGACAGAAAACAAACAAACAAACAAAAAACAAGAGGAAAATGTGCTGAGTCCTGGGAGAAGCTAGTCTATCGGCAATCCTGGGGGTTTCAGGTAGAACTAATGGGCGGTCACCACCACGGACAGCCACCCAACGTGTCTTGTATGTACAGAACAGGTCCAGTATAGTTCGAAGAATCCATGTAGCACATATCTTGGCAAGAATCTTACAGGTAAATGGAATTTCTTGCAACATCCCATAAAGCCTTAATGCTCTGCCCCTGGGAGGAGAGCTATGTTTGCTGACACATTTAGCAAACTTCTGTGAAAAATGTAATCCAACCAAGAAGGAAGTCAATTTCTCGCTTCTTTTGTAACAAGAGCAAAGAGACCATGTGCCTGAGAGTCTGTGCTAAGGAAGAATAGGAGGGTGCCTGCAGACATTTGCTCTGCCAACCTCTTAATGCTCTTGCTACTAAAGGAGCATTCCATCACCCAGGAACACATAGGCTGCCTCCCTACACAAGGCGTATGCCCCACCAGAGTGGAGCTCGAAGAGAACAAGCCTCCTTTAGATCTTTCCAATCATTAAGAATTCTGTGCCACAGCTCAGGGAAACACAGTTAGGATACAGTGTTAATATGAACTAATGACTATACAAATGGAGTCTGGTTTCTACCATACCTGTTTCCTGGTGCATTTTCTCATTTCCCTGCCTAGTGTTGAGCCAGTAACTTGGAAGGCCTCCCATTCTGATTCATTTGTACACAAATGTATAAATCAGAACCAGAAATGGGAAGCCAAAGGTACACTGGGTTAGAGCAAAGACACTGTCAATTCTGTTTTGCTTGGAGTCAGCAAAGGGGGCAGAAAGATCAGAAGTCAGGGAAAGTAGGAGGTAATGTGCTTTATCAAGGGTTGTAAATCCAAGGAATTCTCCCCAAAGAGAGAAGCTGAGGTCCAGAATCCAATACAAGAGGTCAAGGGACCCATAGCACCCAAACTAGGAGTCAGAGGGGTGGGTTCCCACCCATGTGCAGTCCCTAGGAAGCACCGTGGCCTTTGGAAAATCATGCTTGCTCACCATTTCCTGAAGCCACCTTCAGACATTTGCACACTAATTTCTTCTGCCTACATTTCTCTCCCATCCCTTTGCAACTTGAGTCTAGATATCCCCCTTTCCTACACCAGGCAAAATCCTATGCATCTTTTCAGGCCCTAATCAAATAGCTCCCTTCTGTGAAGCCTCCCTCTAAGGCCGTTCAACTCAGCCACTTATGCTCTCCAGGCTTCAGTCCCTAAAGCTATAAAAGGGGACATAAGCAAGGAAGGTGCTTCCAACAGGGTACTCGACATAGGACCTTTGCTGACCCTGCACCTTTTGCTCGTGGTTGGAATATAGGGCTCTCCCTTTCATCCAGAAATCTCCTTGGAATGAGATTCAGCTCAAATGTTGCTCCCTTGGTTCCCACCGACAGAGCCCCTGCGATCCCCCAACACATACCACCCCTGGGGCTGGGTCTGTTTCTCCACTGGATGGTGAGCTCCCCAAGGACAGGGACTGTGCTTCATCCTCCACTCATCTTCCCCATACCTAATCCACGTACATGCCCCTCAAGCATTTTGCCTCAATGTATGGTCCCCATGTTCTCTCCAGACACCCTGTTGCCAACTAGGAGCCCACCAGAAATCTCAGTCTGACATATCATCAACCATCCATCCCCTTATCCAAGCCACTTCCATTCTTGTGTCAATCTTGAGGTTAATAAGGCTTCGGTTTTCTTCCGGAGGCTTCTGCTGAAGGTACCCGCTATCATAGTCACGGATGCCATCCTCTGTAGACACAACTTATGTTCCCTTCTTGGACATCAACTTCAAAGACTCTTTTCTCAGATGGAATAAAATGCCATCCCGGGTAATTTTGCTGCTGCAGGAGGCGGGTAAGCTGAGGGGAGGCAGCGGCATCCCTGCCAGCCCCTGGGGGCTGACTCCAGCAACCACCCAGCCCTCCCGCTGCTACAAGGGCAGGACACACCCTGTCATACAGAATCGAGTGTCTTTGAATCCTGCGGCTTGTGTATTTCAGCTAAAAAATCTTAGATGGCCTGTGATACTGTTCTTCCTATCAGGTGGTCACAGTAGTTGTGTATGTGTGTGTGTGTAAGAGAGAGAGAGAGAGTATGTCAGGAGTCGGCGGGGGGAGGGGCAGAATATGTCCAGATTATCCAGCCAATCTGAACATTAACCAAAAGGAAGTCTGGCTGCTGTCTGGCTAACGACCGACATGGCCTAATTCGGTGACCCAGCTCTTCCTAATGCACTAGGATGCTGTAATGGCAATAGCTTTCTCGCCAAACACCCACAACTCTAATGCCACGTCGCCAGATAGTCAAAGTCGCCATCAAAATAACATAAATATTGGCATAAATAAAGGGATCTGCTTGAGGATGGTAAATCTGCCATCAAATTAAAACCTCATTACACTAACGGCCAAACCAGAGCCTTGCCGTGTGAACATTCTCCAGCCTGGATGTCACACACTGCCTGTGACCGCTGCCAGCCAGGACTTCAGCCCCAGGTGACCTGGGGCTACTCTGGGGCGGTCGATGGTGCCACTGTTTGCAGCAGTCAGCACCCTTGGAAACTGGCAGCACCCTCAACCGTCCTGTAGCGCAAAGCTCGAGCAGGGGCTTCAAAAGCGCGGGATTTGGGAGACAGAATGCATTATCAGGCAAACCAACAATGAGTTTTTATAAACAACAGCACTGGCCCTGTGGAAGACAGGCAAACCTGCCCACGTGGGCAGCCCCCCCCACCCCGTTCTGGGCAGGGCAAGTCCCCCGCTGAGGTCTGAGGCCTTATTATTCAAAGTGTGGTCCCTGGCCCAGCAGCCTGGCATCAGCTGGGAGCCTCCTCAGAAATGCAAAATCTCACCCTGACCTGCTGAAACAGAATCTGCATGGTAACATCTCCATAGGGTTCACAGGCGCATTCAGATCTGGGAAGCGCTGGCCCAAGGGTCAGAGCTTCGGTTGTGGGTTCCTGTCCCTGCCTCGGGACTGCATCAGAAGGGTAACGGGGAGAGACGCAGCCCTCCAGCTTTTGTATAGGCCCTTAGCCATTTTCGCAAGTTTGTGGGTCACCTTTAAATAGCCTGGGTGACCTTGGCAGGTCTACTTAAACTCGGCGAGCCTCAGTTTCCCCACTGTAAAATGGGAATTAACACTGGTAACCGCCTGGAGGAGCTATAGGGAAGGGATACGAAGTTGGGTCTGTAGCAGGCTTGACATAGCGCCTGGCACACGGCAGATTCTTGCTAAACAGACATTAACTGTTAGGAAGCACCCAGAGCAGGGGACAATGCGACGATGTCTGCAGAAGACGGGTCAGTGCCCATGCTCTCCTGCTCGTCTCCCTCCCTCCCTCCACGTGGAAAGGGAGGGTTTTTCTAACAAGACTGCAGCATCAACGTGCAAGAAATTCTCTCAATGGGAGCATTAAAGACACAGCCTGCGGAGTTGGTTTAAATCCTCTGCGGCTTAGGTGACACGACCCTCAGTTTCCTGGTCGTCAGATGGGAGTCAGAGAACAGTGCCTACTTGCAGGGTCACTGTGAGGATGGGCTACTCCGCATAAGGCACTTAAAAAGGACCAAATGTCCGCTCTTGCCAGGGTCATAGTCATCTTCCTCGCCCGCATCATCAATACAGACAATAGGCTCTCAGGAAATCAGGAAGGCTCACTTTGTCAAGGAGGAAAACGGGAGAAAGGGGGACGCGGCTGGCACAGGGGACAGCTCAGTGTGGGAGGGAGAGGACACGGACAGGGGGAAAATGTTTGGAGAAGCTGGAGCAGAGGACTCTGCAAGGACTGTGGTGGAAGCTGGGGCAGGGCAGGCCCGTGGGGGTGCTGGGGAGCCACGGAAGGCGCAGGGCAGGGAGCAGCACAGCCACGGAGAGGGGCAGGGCCGACTCACGTACACCTGCGAGCAGACTCCTGGGCCAGCTGCAGCCGGTAGACGGAGAGGCGGTTGGCGCCACCGCACACGCTGCCACGCTCGCCCTTACATCCCATGTCACACTCGGCCTCGCTCACGTTTGTCGCCTGGATCTTGTGGCCGCAGTAGCACTCGGCTCCGAACTCCAGCCCGGCATACAGGTAACCCCTGGGGAAGGCTGCAGTCAGGCTACCGTGCGGACCCCAGGGGCCGGGAGACTCGGGGGGATGGGAGGTCTCCGGGGCCCAGAACCCCCAGGACCACCCCCCTGCCTTCATCCCCATATACCTACCCACGTGGCCACAAGTGTCCTCCTGACTTTATACATGTCACACACACACACACACACACACACGCCTCCAAGCCTGGGGTCCGTCCATCCCAACCCATCCTCTTGCTCCTCCCGTCTAGTGCCAGGCGCTAATTCTATCTCCAGAGTCCAGCCCTTTTATTCCAGGAAATGTCCCCCAAGAATGATGCCTCCAGGTCCCTTGAGAAGAGCTGGAATGAAAGGAGGAGGCAGGGACTCTTGTATCCCCTTGGAAGATGGCAAAACCAAGGTCACATAGCCAGCCAAGGAAAAATTCCTTCCCCTAAAAAAAAAAAAAAAAAAAAAAAAAAAATCCAGGCACTGCAAGGTTTTCAACTTTTTTTTTTTTTCCTTAGCCATCAGATTGTTTCCTAAAAAGGACTCTCAGTGGACACCCATTCTGTAAACAGAAAGGCATGGCCTGCTCTGGTTGCAGGGGGTGGGGACAGAGGGAGAGGGTTGGGACAAGTCCTGCTCAGCTCCCTTGCCAGTGAGGTGTTCTCCAGAACCAGGAAGGCTTAGCCTGCAGGGCCCCTGGCCATGCATGGCGGCCCCGAGGGGAGCGGTCAGCTCACATCTTCAACTGATGGACCCACGCAGACTCAAGCCTCCACACACCCCCACTACCGTGTGGCATGTGCTAGCCTCTGCTCCACACGTTCACCTGGACAGGTGCAGCTAATGGGCACCTTGGTGCCTACCCCCAGCATCCTGGGGCTGGGCCAGACTGCCTTGCGCCCATCTTTCTCAGAACTGCTGTCTCTCTGAAGCCCTGGTTCTGGGGTGCCCTGAGCCCCTCTCGTATAACTAGATCCAGTGATGGAAGGAACCCAAGGCGGGGGAGAACCACTTCTAGGGGGTGTCACAATTCTAGAACAAGCAGTAGCTTCCTCCTAACCCTCTCCCTTGGATGGCTCACAGCAGGGAGGGCGGGGGACAGCTGCTCTGGGAGGATACAGCCACCAGCTGGGAACTCCTGTTTCAGAAGGGGATTTTCAAGTCCCGTCCGTGCCCTCAGATGGCTGCAGTCGCTGCCCCTCTTGACCACAAGGTCATAGAGACACTGAGGCAGAAGCACCTGGCTAACCCCACTCCTAGATTGTAGTTTCTGGCACCCAGAAACTCTGGGAGATGATAATGTTTGTTGGCTTAAGACGCTAAGTTTGGGGATAATTTGTGGCCCAGCGAAGGATAACTAATACAGGAAGGGAAATGGAGTCGGCCTTGCTATCCTTAGGGTCCCTGGGAGGACCTCAGACAGTTAATCTTGATGTGCCTGCAGCGGCCTTCGACAGAAAGATCTTTCCAGAATTCAAACAGATCACACCTCTCTACTGCCCCACCGCCCCCTCCCCTGCCCCACCCCCAGCTTCCACTGCAGGCAGATAAGCTTCCAGACGGCTTTGCTCAGCCTACAAACCCTATCAGTGGTTCTTTAACATGGACAGCCATTAGGATCACCTGGGGAACATTTTTTAAATGCTTCCAGAGAGTCTAATTTAATTGGCCCTGTAATTCTAACGTGCCGCTTTGTGTGAAATTCAGAGGAGTGGTGCACCAGCTGTGGGCCCGGGACCCACAGAATCCATATGATCTCTGTCTCAGAACTCAGGAAAAATGCAAATTCTGGTCGCCTTCCGCCCCCTCTCCCTCACCCCGGCCCAAACCTACCGAACCAGAAAGTGGGAATGGAGTCCAGCCATCTATATTTACAAGAGCCCGGGTGATGGAGTTATTCACTCCAGGCCGAGGACCCCTGTCCTAGATGATCTGCTCCCCCCCACCCTGTCTTCCCCCCCAAACTACCCCTTCATTCTCAACACCTGGTGTATGCTAAGTGTTTAACAAATATTTGTGGAATGAATGTACATCAATCCCCCGATTAACAGCCTCCAGCAGCTCCCCCTTGCCAGTGGCTAATCCAGATGCTTCAGATGGCATTCAAGGCCACACGTCAGCAGGTGTCAGCCAGCCCTACAGCTTCCCCTCCCTCCTGACAGCTTCCCATTGGGACTCCCTGTGCATCCCCATCCTGCCTACCTGAGGAGGCTTGGTATTGAGGATGTTTCAGGAGTTCTGGTCTTTGAGTAGGCTGCTTTTTCTATCCTACTGACCTCCCTAGAAAACTCCTATTCATCCTTCAAAACCTGGTTCAAGATCTCACCTTTGTAACTCTTCCTGAGCTCCCCATTCCCTCAGCCTTTGCAAGCCTGCTGTCGTCTGGCTAGCACACGCCGCCCAGCACCCCTCGTACTTGATGTCCCCACAGTCTGGTTTCCTCATCAGCCTCTTAGGGATTTTGTGGGAGGGGAAGGAGTTTAAGAGTTAATATTTGCAAAGTGCTGAGAACGGTGTCTGGCACAAAACAAATGCCCAGCACAGATAAGATTCTGCTCTTCTATTCCCCAAGCCTGTGCCTGCCTCCATCTTCCCAACCAGCTGGGGAGCCCCCAGAGGGCAGGGCTGCGGCTGACTCACTGCGGCTCCAGCACCCGGACACACACACGGACAGCAATAAATATCTGCTGAACTCAAACGGATTTCGTGAATTCATCCAACTCACTCTGAAGCTCACCTTGGTGGTCACCTCCTCTGAGTCTTTCCTGATGACTGAGGCAGGCTGGGGGCTCTTCTGCATTTCCACGGTCTGCAGTTCATGCCATCTGAACCCTCATCCCGCTACAAGGCCCTTCTCGGTGTACCTGCCTATCTTCCCGTCAAGGCTGTGACTCCATGGGGGTCATGAACTCTGCAGAATTCACCTCTGTCTCCCCACAGTTTGGTACATCCTAAAGGGCTCCGCATCTTTCACAAGATGGAGAGGGCCCCGGGCTCAGGGAGCGGATTATAAAGGGACATCCTCATCAAGCACAAAGGGAGGAGTCCCTCGGCCACCCTCGTGCTCATTTCTAGGACAGCCACGCAGCTGAGGTCCATCCGAATTTGTGACCTCAGAGCTAGCCAGAGAGAGTCCGAAGGTAGACGAGCCAGCAGCCCCTTCACAAGCCACCCCCAGACTAAGGTGGCAATGCCAGGGCCCAGGCACAAGCTGAGGCCCCTGTCCCCACTTGCCAGTCCTGTGGGACCTCCTCCACTTTTGGGAAGTCCACTGCCTCCCCCAGTATATGTCCCCATCAAGAACATCACTTACTGCAACTGGAAATCACTGTGGGTACAGGTGCGTGTTTCTACGTGTGAGATGTCCCATGGGTGTCCTACAAGCCTCCCGCTCACCGAGTCACACCCGTGAGCTTTTCCCGCACACGGGCACAGGTTTGGAGCCTTGCACACAGATTCACAAAGTCTCCTGCGCACACAACCACCATCACTTAAAGATCATGCTGCATGCGCGTGAGGCTTCCGAACCTAGGCCGCTGAACCCGCACGCTGTACGCACAAACTCACACCGAGGCACAGGGTCAAACTATGCGACCAGAAACTCCCACAAACCAACGGTCCAGCTCATTTGCATACACGCAGGCGCACAGCATGCACACACCCCCACCCCCCAGCATCATAAGTCCCTCGTGACCACGTGCTCATCCTCCACTGTGCCCTTCCGCGGAAGAGGAAAGAACACCGCCAAAGGAAGGAGTCTGGAATGAATGGAGCGCGGGACATCAGGGCCCTACCGTTCTGCGCAGTTGTCCTGGCAACGGAAGATGGTCATCTTCTTGTAGTCAAAAAAGGACACGCCTCGCAGGGCCCGGCTCTGGGTGTCATCCAGGTAGCAGCCGATGTACTTGGCTTTGGGGAGAAGAGAAAAGTCAGATCTGGCTGGGGACAAAGCAGAAAAGGATTTGCAAACGAGTGGCAACCGGGGTCCCTCTGGGTACGTGGTCGGTTCTTCCCTCCCATCAGAAAAGCAGAAACAAGAGACTGAAAGTCATGTGGGCTGGCAGACGATGACCCTGAAGGGCACTGGAGGCCAAAACAGGATGAAGGGACTCTTCTGCGGCCAGGGTAATGAGCAAGCCCCTGGACTCCACTGGTGACAACCAGTAGACGCCCAGAGAGCCAAGCCAGGGTCATTCTCCAGTGACCCATATGGAGACAGCTCGGAAGAGTCTGACACAGCTGATAGCGTGTTCTCATTTCTACAAGCTGCCTCGAGATACTTACTTTTCCTTGCACACGTGGGCTGGGAAAGCTCAAAGGATAGCCTCAAAGGCTTCCCAGTTTGGTTACTTCCGGGCACTGGCCTAGTGAGTCTGGGCCAGGGTCCCTCCCTAAGGTCTAGTGTTCTTCACTGTGGGGATGAAAACACCACCAGTGAGGTCAAAACGGAATGATCTGCATAAATGTTTCTACCATAGTGTCTTGAGTGTAACAGGCGCGAAGGTAAAATGAGTGCAACACGATCTGTCATTCGCAGCGCCATGCAGGTACTTCACAGTGTGCCCACGCCCGGGCCAGGGGGAGTGCTCTCATCCAAAGAAAAATTTTAAATGATGTATAAAAACCAATGTGCTCTTGTACTTCACGGTAAATAGTCATTCTCGCACATCAAGACCACACTTCACAGTTTATAAAACGGTCTTTCCCTGTATGTTCTCAGGACTGGGACGTGTGCTTTGCTAAGTGGTTTACATAGACTGTCTCGCTGAAACCTTACGATCATCTTCCAAGTGCTAATATTCCCACGCTATACAGAAGAGGAAATGGAGGCCCAGAGGGGTGAAGCACTTGCCCAAGGAAACACAGCTGGTACTTGTGGAGCCAGGGTGGGCCCAGGTGCATGTCCTGAATCCCTGCTTATTTCTAGAATCCAGAGAACCTTGCAAGGACCCAGGTGAAGTGGGGAGTGCTGGCAGGTTCATGCTCTCTGATGACTCAGCAGAGGCCCGGAAAGGTCCAGCGGCTGGCCTAAAATTTGAGGCTCAGTGGTGGCAGGACCAAGATTTCAGTCCAGATCTATGGGAGCCCCAGACCACAGCTCTTTCCACTAGTCCATTTGCAAGTAACTGGAGGATGCCGCCAGCTCTCGCGGAGGATGACTGAGGACAAGATGGGTCACTTTCCCTGGCAGGCCTGCTGTCTCTTTCAGCTGTGGGCTGGCACCCCCCGTCGCTTGTGGTGGAGAACGGGCTTGAGCAGAGGGTACCAGCTCCTGCTGAGCAGTTGAGCCCCTTGGGGCCAGCCTGCTAAGTGCAGAATTTGTCAGCGCTGCTGGAAACGGGCCTCGTCCTCATCACTCTGAATTTCTTTTCTTTTCTTTTTTTTTAAGATTCTATTTAGTTATTTATTTGACAGAGATCACAGGTAGGCAGAGAGGCAGGCAGAGAGAGGAGGGGAAGCAGGCTCCCAGCTAAGCAGAGAGCCTGATGCGGGGCTCAATTCCAGGACCCTGAGATCATGACCTGACGCGAAGGCAGAGGCTTTAACCCACTGAGCCACCCAAGCGCCCCTGAATTTCTTTTCTAAGACAGCGGTGATGTGGTTGGCTAAGAAGAGTCCAGCTTGAACAGAAAGATCGCTTCCCTGGAGCAGGCCCATCACACGGGGACAGTTGTGGAGAAGCCCCCTCTTGTCCCCATGTTTGCTCTATGTTGTGTGCCTTTCCTATCACAGAGGGGGTCCTGGCCTGGGGTGCTGTTCACACCTGAGCTGGGAGGAAGAGCTTCAGCTCAATAGTTCAGTAAAGGACATAGTGTTCTGGGAAGGATTGTAGAAGGAATAGGACAGGCGTGGGGGGGCGGACAAATGGGGAGTAGGAAGAGGGAGAGAGGAAGGGGGGAAAGGTTATTTTGACAGCGTGAGTTCTTTGTTATCAGATCAAAAGACTGTGTGTGGGGCCAATGATTGAGCACCTACCGCATGCTGTCTACTATGGATTATTCCTTTTAATTTTTAAAAATTTTTAAGGTTTTGGGGCACCTGGCTGGCTCAGTCGGTTAAGCATCTGCCTTTGGCTCCGGTCATGATCCCAGGGTCCTGTGATTGAGCCCCACGTTCCTTCTCCCTCTGTCTACTGCTCCCCCTGCTTGTACACTCTCTATCTCTCTCTCTGACAAATAAAATCTGAAAAAAGAATGTTTAAAATTTTTAAGGTTTTCATTCCAGTAAGTTAGCGTATAGTGTTTTATTAGTTTTAGGTGCACTATACAGCGATTCGATAACTTGATATAATTCGATAACGTTACTCACTCATCATGGTAAGTGTCCTCTTCCTCCCATCCCCTATTTCCCCCATTCCCCCACCCACGTCCCTTTTGGTCACCATCAGTTTGTTCTCTAGAGTTAGGAGTTGGGTTTCTTGTTTTTCTCCCTCTCCTTCTCCCCTCCCTTCGCTCATCTGTTTCATTTCAGGAAGTCCGGATAGGAGTGAAATCATATGGAATGTCTTTCTCTGGCTCATTTTGCTTAGCATTATTTTTTTTTTACATTCACACCCTCCCATGCTTATTAACCCATTTTACAGATGAGGAAGCTGATCCTAATGACAAGGACACCTTCCTGCCTTAGAAGCGACTCTGAGTTTTGGCATACTGTGTCTGTTCTGACCCGTCACCACGTTACTTCTGTTTCTCCTCTTTTCTAAACAGAATTAGAAGCTACGGCATTTACCTCAAGTTCCTACACCCTGTAAGCATCTCGCTTAAAACTTAAGCCCGAGTCTGTCCTCCAAATGTTTTATTTGTGGGGAGGATCTGCTTCCATTGGTCCAGGGTCACCAAGAGCCACATAGACCTGATGGGGAAAATTGCAAACGCTCCCCGATCTGCTGGGCTTGAAATGAGATGTGCTATGGCTTCGGGTGGTCTCACCTAAGGGTGGAGGTAGGGGCATTTTGCTCTATGCGGGACAGTGGATCGATCTGTGCTTGATGCAATTTTGATCATCAGAGTAACAACAGTCAGGGTACATGTGTGTATACACGCGTCCACTTTGGAGTGAACGGGGGTAGGGGGTTGTCATGATATCGTTCACACCTTCAAAGCAATACCTCTTCTGTTTTTTTCTCCTAACAGACCTTACCCGCCCCTGACCTTGGCAGGGCCAATTATGTTGCCCCTCCCACCAGCCAGTGATTGTCTGATTGCTCCAGGGAAGGGCACACGGTCTACTCTCTGGATTCTTGCAGATCAAAGCTAGAAGAAAGAAATCTGTTTCCCTTGGGTTAATGACATTGGCAAGTCTCTAAGCCTAGAGCGACCAAGAGCCATGATCCCTGGGACCAAAGTCAGCCTGTTTGGGAGGATGAAACCCATGGAGGCAAGCAGAGAGGAGAGCCACAGAGAGATAGAGGGCGCACATCACTCCTTTGAAAACTCCAGTTCCTTCTGCAGTTGGTGACAAGACACAATGCATTTTCCTCTTTAGCTTAAGCTGGTTCAAGGTGGGTTTTAGTTCCTTGCCCCCAAAGTGACACTGATTTACGTGTTAATACTCAAGCCAAAGGGCCTGAATCCACCCAGCTCTGAGGGTCCAGACTAAACCCATGCTCAGGCCTGTCTGTTCCATGCCCCTGGATGTGTACCATGGTGAGTCTCGGCCTGGGAGGAGGACATCTCTGTCCCCAATAGAGAGACCTCCCTGGGGATGCTGGGAGAGAGAGGACCCGTTAGAAGAGAGCTGGGATTTGAGCTTACGTCCAGCTGTCCCCAAACCTGGGCTTTTAAGTGCTGTGCTACCTCCTCTCCATCCCTCCCATCAGGCCAGACAGCAGGCTGCAAGTTCTCACACAACGGGTGCTCTAACGGGGTGGGGGTGGGGTGGAGGGGAGATTCATGGTCCCTCATGAATGCCCTGGAGAAACATGGGTGTGTTACACACTCTGACCTGATGAAACGGCTGAACTCTGTGGGTCAGGAAGCAAATTCTGAATGTTTCCTCCCTGGCCTGGGCAAGTGCTAGAGCATCTTTCCCTGCAGACCCCAGTCAGCACAGCCATCATCCGGCCCCCGGTGTCAGCCACCTGCTGACCTCATCACTGCAGTTTCCCCGCCAACCCGCCTCAGCGGTTTCCCCAGCGCCCTGCCTTCAAATCTTGCTGTGGTGGCACAATGTGTCCAAACAAGGGGGGACACCAGGTATGTAAAACTCAGGCAAAATCACAGGCCACTTGAGGGGGGATAAATGGCCAAGTTCATACCATCTATCAGCTCATGTCTGCAGCTATTCAAATATTGCTGAAATGGCAGAGTCGCCCCGGCTGGACTATTTATCTCCGGCACGGGCACCACGGAGCGGGGAGCCCGGGAGAACGCAGGCAGCTGGAACAGAGCCCTCCCCACTGTGGGTTCCCCTCCCCCCTTTCCTTTGCTTTTTTCCTTTTGCTTCAATTAATCTTCCTTTTCAAGAAACGTTGCTCTCTTCAATAAAGGTAATTTGTTAAAAGGATAACTAAACACGAACAGATCTGTATTCCTTTTCTTTACTATCTGTGAGTAGATTCCACAAACCAGGAGGGATTACGGAGTGTGGGAAGAAAACCAACTGTGGGATCAACCAGATTTGGGTTTCAGTCTCAGCTCCTGGATATATCATTACCCTGCCTGGAAAGTGGGAATAAGAAAGTGGGGGAGGGGATGGGTTGAATTGTGTTCCGCTTCTCCCGCCCACCCCCCAAAAAAGACAGGCTGAGGTCCTACACTCAGAACTTAAGGATGTGACCTTATTTGGAAACAGGGTCATTGCAAATGTGATTCATTAAGGTATGAGTGTATATCAAAGTGATGGCACGGCAGTCGATAGGACTGGTGTCCTTATAAAAAGATGGCCATCTGAAGACACAGAGCCACAAG